TTCAAACGCTCGACAATTTACGGTCAAACGCTAAGTGACCTGGAAGACCCTGTAGCACCAAGTCTCGTTGAGGATATGAAGGCGCATATGGTGACTCATCCAGAGTTCTCACAGAGCTTCTGGGCCAGTACGTCGCTACTTATGAAGCGACAATTGACCATCACGAAGCGAGAAACCACTGCTCTAATCGGTCGATTGATCATGAACACTACCATCGCGTTATTGTGCTCAAGTGTGTACTATCAATTCGACTTGACAGACTTTCAAGTGGCCATGGGAATCCTCTTCGAGTCGATACTGAACTTGTCTATTGGCCAGGCTGCCCAGATCCCGACGGTCATGGCTGCACGAGAGGTTTTCTACAAGCAGCGAGGCGCCAATTTCTTCCGCACTGCGTCGTATGTGCTGTCGAATTTTGTCAACCAGGCTCCGCCGATCATCCTGGAATCCGTTATTTTCGGGACTATTATCTACTGGATGTGTGGCTTTGTGAGCAGTTTCTGGGGTTTCTTCATCTTCCTGGTGATTTTGTGCCTCACAAACCTCGCACTGGCAGCGTTTTTCTTCTTTTTGGCATCTGCGTCGCCGAATTTGAACGTGGCCAACCCGATCTCGAGTGTTGCGGTGCTTTACGTTTGTGTCTTTGCGGGATACACAATCACAAAAGACCAAATTCCGGACTATTTGATCTGGTTGTACTGGGGAAATCCTATCTCGTGGGGCATTCGAGCATTGGCAGTGAGTCAGTACACTCACTCTCGTTTTGATACGTGTGTGTACAATGGGTTTGACTACTGTGCTCAGTATGGGATGACGATGGGAGAGTACTCACTCAGTACGTATGAGGTGCCGTCGGACAAATTCTGGCTTTGGTACGGGATGGTCTTCATGGCTGCAACGTACGTGTTCTTCTTGTTCTTGTCGTGTATCGCTCTGGAGTACCATCGCTTCGAGCGTCCAGAAAATGTTGTACTTACAAATGAGACCAAACCAGACGCCGCAGAAGGCTACATCATTGCTAAAACACCGCGACAGTCACAGAAACAGCGTGAATCAGTGATCTCGGTCGATCACGCAAGAGAAAAATACTTTGTACCGGTCACGGTGGCGTTCAAGGACTTGTGGTACACTGTTCCCGACCCGACCAACCCGAAGCAAACCATCGACTTGCTCAAGGGCATCTCCGGATACGCTTTACCAGGCACGATTACAGCTCTCATGGGGTCGTCTGGAGCAGGCAAGACGACGTTGATGGACGTGATTGCAGGACGAAAGACTGGCGGGCAGATTCGGGGGCAGATCCTGCTGAACGGCCATCCTGCCACAGATCTGGCTATTCGACGCTCCACGGGCTACTGCGAGCAGATGGACATCCACTCGGAGTCTTCTACTATCCGTGAAGCCTTGACATTCAGTGCTTTCTTGCGTCAAGGAGCGGATGTTCCGGACAGTCACAAGTACGATTCGGTGAACGAGTGTTTGGATCTTCTAGATCTAAATCTGATCGCTGACCAGATCATCCGTGGCAGCTCCGTGGAGCAGATGAAGAGACTGACGATCGGTGTGGAACTCGCTGCGCAGCCAAGTGTCTTGTTCTTGGACGAACCGACGAGTGGGTTGGATGCTCGATCGGCCAAGTTGATCATGGACGGTGTACGTAAAGTGGCGAATACTGGACGCACCATCGTGTGTACGATTCACCAGCCATCTTCCGAGGTTTTCAGCGTCTTCGACAGTCTGTTGCTGTTGAAGCGTGGTGGAGAGACGGTCTTTGCTGGTGAATTAGGCGACAACGCACGTGAAATGATCGAGTACTTTGAGTCGATTGATGGCGTGGCAAAGCTCGAGACCGACTACAACCCAGCCACGTGGATGTTGGAAGTGATCGGTGCTGGCGTAGGTAACAGCAACGGAGACAAGACGGACTTCGTGGAGATCTTCAAAGCCAGCGCCCACTTCGAGCGTCTCCAGTCGAGTCTAGACCAAGAAGGTGTGACTCGACCGTCACCGTCTTTGCCTGCACTGGAGTTCAGCGACAAACGCGCAGCATCGGAGCTCACCCAAGCGAAGTTCCTGTTGAAACGCTTCTGTGGTCTCTACTGGCGAACGGCTTCGTTCAACTTGACACGGTTCGCTATCTCGCTTGGAATGGGTATAGCGTATGGGATCACGTACGTTCGTACCGAGTATGAGACGTATTCCGGAGTGAATTCCGGTTTGGGAATGATCTACATGATCACGAGTTTCATCGGTCTCATCGCATTCAACGGATTGATCCCGATAGCTTACGAAGAACGCGCTGTATTTTACCGCGAACGGGCAGCTCAAACCTACAATGCCTTTTGGTATTTTTTCGGACTCGGAGTCATGGAGATCCCGTACGCTGCCGCCTCAGTACTGTTGTTCCTGATCCCGTTCTTCCCAACAGTGGGGTTTTCAGGTATCGGAGCTTTTCTTACTTCGTGGTTGGTGTTGGTGCTTCAAGTGCTGCATCAAGCGTTTATGGCTGAACTTCTCGTCTTTCTGTTGCCGAACTTGGAAGTGGCGGAGATCGTCGGTGTGCTGCTAAATCTTCTCGGATACCTGTTCTCAGGTTTCAGTCCACCAGCTTCTGCACTGCCATCGGCGACTGTGTGGTTGTATGATATCACCCCGATGAAGTACAGCACCGCAGCGTTCTCAGCTGTCGTGTTTGGAGACTGCAGCAGTGACGGAGATCTGGGATGCACACGGATGACAAATGTGCCACCATCACTTCCCGAGAACCTCACTGTGAAGGAGTACTTGGAGACGAATTTCCTGATGAAACACAGCGAGATTTGGAGAAACTGCGGCTTCTTACTGCTCTTTGTCGTCATCTTCGGCATATTCACACTACTCGCGATGCGCTTCCTGAACTATCAGAAAAAGTAGGAATTTGAGCTAACTTAGATTCATAGATAGCAAAATAAACAAACTCTCATTCTACACATTATCAGAGTTTTAACATGAATTGCTTTTGTCCGTAGCCGTTCACTTAAAAATACAAAAATACTACGTGTACAGTAGTACACACCAATACTCACTAGAATACAGCTGAACTATCATACAGTGCCGGTATCCTATCGGTACTTACTCATTGGTGAGTCTCAACGATAGGCAAAGCGAGCAGGACCGAGTGACGCAATCATCCAAGACGTGGGTTAACTTTGTCGTCGCGTCACGGTGGTCCACCGGGTGGACGAGGAGAGCGGTAGAATAGCACAGACAGAATAAGCAAATCCACAGAACCTA